CAGTTTCAGCAGCGGCTGACGCCAGTTCCGACTTACATACAGATTCAACTTAAGAACAAACCTACAGTCCCTATCTTGTACGTAACCTGGGGACTGCCTGTACTTAACTTGTAATGTCATTAGGATGTTGAATGTAGCTTCCCATACAAGTAAGGTCTCTGTTCAGACCTTGATTAAAGGTGTCAAATGTTTGTTCCCCAACATTTTAACCTGCCCGGGTACTTATTAATCTAAAAGTGACCATCCTGTTACAAAGCAATTTCAAAAATCAGCTGGAAAGAGAAGCTGCAGAAATTGCATTCATCTGCAAATTTGACACCTTTTAATCAGTGTCTGAACAAACACATTACTTGGATGGGGCGCTACATTCAACACCCTAATGGCATTACAAGTGAAGTATTGGGTGTTTGCATCCCACTCAATAGCCTCTAATTGATAAGTTTTTTCTCCTTCTCTTTTCCTCCCCATCCCCTCTAACTGACATTTTTTTCTCTTTTCCCCCGCCTCATCCCCTCTTTTTCTGCTGTTTATTTGCAACTCTGGACCCCTTGCACCATTCATCTGAAGAAGAGGGTTGTGCCCATGAAAGCTCATGATACCATCTACATTTTTTGTTATTCTCTAAGGTGCTGGAGGACCATTTGTTGTTTTTTAAGTTTTCAGGATGTGGAAGTGTATGTTACATAAGGTGCCACAGGACTCCTAGTGAAGACTAACAGATTTATTTGGTCATAAGCTTTCATGAATCAAAACCACTTTGTTAGATGCATGCATGGTTTTGAGCCATGAAAGCTTGTACCCAAATACGTCTGTTAATCTTTAAGGTGCTACCGGACTCCTCATTATTTTACAGATACAGACTAACACAGCTTGTAATATAATATAGCATATAATAAATATAGTAGCAGATAATAAAACATTTAGAAATGTCAATCTGAATATCTGTAGAAAACTTTTGAAAGTATCCTTTAGTTGTCTTACTAACTAAAAGATGTTCTGTTGGATTTTTCCATTTTTTATTTTTGGCAGTAGGAATTGCGGTGAAGGGGAGAGTTTTGAGTGTTAGTAAAAAAACAAAACAAAACAAAACACCAGTAATACAGGATGCCAGGGCTAAAAATGAGCTAAATGGAAAAGGGTGAAACTAAAATTAAAAGGAAAAATAGGTTAATTTTTTTAAAGAGAGAGAGAGACTGGTCAAGGGACTAAGGAACAATAATAAAAAAAAGCATTCAATCTCTCATTTCCCCAAATAAAGGGGATTATATTATAGTTTGTTACTTTGAAATGATGGAAAATTGTAAAAAGAAAAGCACAGGACAGTTCACTCCTGTCAGATTTAAAAGCCTTCTGTTCAGACAACAGTGTATTTGGAGCAAACAAAAGTTGGTTTTATTATAACTTTTTTTTCTAGACGTGGGAGACTCGCTACATGCTTTTGTTGTGGCTCTCCATGACATGTCTGATACCTTTTGATTTGGCTCGCCTTGATGGAAATATCCTTTCTGAAGGACACACTCGAATGCCAATAATGGATCGCATACTCAAAATAGCAAAAGTAAGCGCTATTTTGTTTAGTACACAAAGACTTTGAATTTTTTATGTGTGATATATTTGACCTTTTATTTCCTAGCCCTCACTTTGCTTATGTAATATGGAAGGGTTTTGCCCACAGTTGCAAATCCTGAATATGTTTGTTTCTATTCTTTAATGTTAGAAGGAAATTATCACTTTAGAAGAATGAAAAAGTGAGACTATTTAATTTTAATACTATGTAATATAAATGCATATCTTGTTAGACTAGCTGATTTCAGAAATAAATGGCTAGTGTTTTCAGCTGTGAACCCAGGTTAGTCAACTTAGTCATAAGGGAAGTTAGTTTCCCTGAAGTGAACAATGGTATATATCAGGGCTACTCAACTTTGAAAGCTCCGGGGGCCACAATGATACTCACAGCACATGCTGAGGGCTGCAACTTAAGTGTGGTTGCATATACATGCAAATATATGTAAATAGCTTCTTTCACACTGATGGGCATGAATACAAAGATTAAGGCAAGACTACACAACACACAGGCCCCATTTAAGTCAGTTCTGCTGTTATTAATAAAATGCAATATTTACCCAATTTCCACCCACATGACAGCACTTTTAATAAGCAATGACAGTCCAGGAATTTAACTACTAAAACGCATATCAACAGTAGACCATTATATTCACTATTTTTTTTATTTTGGCTCCCACCCATGGGCCGCATGTACCCAAACTGCACTGTGGGCCGTGAACAAATGGCCATGTGTTGAGTAGCCCTGGTTTATATGAAGTAGATGTGAAAAGTGTTCAATTGGCTACAGCCAGCTTGACTGAAAAGTAGCATCTATGTAGATAAACTTTCATACAAAGTTTAACATGACGTCCATTGAAATGGTTGTGTTACATCTCTTCAGGATTGTTTTACAAGAGCATAAAAATAGCTAGTATTGACATTTGTCTGTATTGCTTTAATGCAATGATACAGAAAAGATTATGCTGCTATGAAAGACGTTGAGATGGAAACTTTGATTTCTGGCATGTGGCTTGCTAAATTTTCGAACTTGTGTAGTTTACTAATTCTGTCTCTGCAAATGCTTTAAGAATTAATTTTCTTATTTCCTTTAGTCTTACCTGGTTGTCAGTGATAAGGCTCGAGATGCAGCTGCTGTATTGGTTTCCAGGTAAATCTCATGCTGATCTTGGGGAAAAAAGTGAAGTGTACTTTTTTTCTTTTACTTTCTTAGCCTATAAAAATTTCATCTGACAATACTGGGTGGATTTACAGTATTGAGAGTAGTACATGGAATACTTGTATGAACGTAGGTCCAATATATGGTGACGAAATGTTATTGCCACCAGCAGAATCCTGAGTGGAAGAAGAACTTTGAATGTTCTCTACGTACCCTGCAACTTCCCACAAAAACAGACTCCAAACCAAACTCTTCAAAAGAGCTAATCTGCATCTTTTTCTAAACCTCTCCCTTCTCCGCCCCTCCTAAGAAATTTGAAATTCCACCCACCACTTTGAACAGTGAGTTGCACTGGTGCACAGGAGCCCCACACTTACACTTTTCCTCTGTTTCCCTCCTGGCACTTTTGGAGTTCCGTGAATCCACTGATTTGCACTCGGTCCTCATTCTTTCCCCTCCTCCAAGAGCTTGAACTGCTGCGAATTAGTGGATTCATGGAGCTCCTAAAGTGCTAAGAGGGAGGCGTAGGCAGTGTGGGGCTCCAGTGCCCTAGGAGGTGTGAGGTGCCTGGGAGAGAGGAGCAGAGAGGGGATGTGTGGGCCACAGGTAGAACACTCGGGTGTGTCTAGATTACAGGGTTTTTTCAAAAAAAGTGGCTTTTTTTCAGGAAAAAATAAAAACTGCTCCTGTGTCTAGACTGCTGCTGCGTTCTTTCAAAAGTAAATTGAAAGAACACAGCAGTTTTTTCGACTGCAGAAAACCTCGTTTTACGAGGAAGAATGCCTTTTTTCGAAGGTGCTCTTTCGAAAAAAGGCTCTATGTAATGTAAACTGTGCTTTTTCTAAAGAGAGCATCCAGACCATCTCCATCTCCATCTCTATATAGTATCATGAGTTTTTGTGCGCAAAACCCACTTCTTCAGAGGAGTTGTTCATGGAAAGAGAAAAGTTTAATAGCTGGATTGACTTGAATGTCAGTATGAGTTGCCAGTATTACTGTACATGAATGTAAGTCTCAAGTAGCTGCTAAAACAATGACTCTACAAAGGCCTGTGTTCTGTGTAGGGTGCTATTCTCAGTTCCCCACTATCTTATGGGTTAATTTGCAGATGGGTATGCACTCATAACAAATACGGATGTAAAATCCCCCTTAAAATGTTAATTAGTTAAACTACATGTTTAACTGGTTAATCAGCCTGCTATGGTGTGCTGCAGGCAGGAGTCCACTGGAGCAGTCCCTTGCCAGTGGCATGCTGTACTGGGCCTGGCCAGGTTTGAGTACTCTTGGCACAATGGACTTGGCTGGGCTGGACCCAGCCCTACCTGTGGTGCTTGGGCTGGGTTCTGCTTATCCTGGTAACCGTGCCAGTAAGATAATGCTTACTGGGTAACAGGTTGCCCCTTTACACCCCTAAGAACAAATACCAGATAACTGAACGAGTGAACATTCTGAATATATTTTGATACTCAATTGGGTCTACTGATTCTTAATGTAAGAATGTAACATTAGCAAAATTATCCTTTGGAGAAAAGTTTCAGGGTTTCTGTGCCTTACATTTTACTTGGAAGGGAATTTGATCATATTATTCGTGTGCAGATCAGGGAACCAGGACACTTCGAATCCATCTGTCTCTGGAATTGCGGATACTTTGCTGTGTGGCCTTAAGGAAGTTGTGTAACTTTTCTGAGTCTCTGTGTTTCTCTGTAAAATGGGTTTAATATTACTATATCACTCGGGGTGTGTTGAGGATTAAATAATAAAAGGTTTGTCACATGCTTAGAGGTGCAACCAATACAGATGATGTATTTCTTGCAATATTGAAGACTAATATGACTAAGCTGCTGGTCATTTAATACTGAGAAGTAATGACACATCTCATAATTTTTTAGCAAATTCTTCAAATTTACAGAGGTTGATCTTGAGTGCAATGACCTCTGATAACATTGAAACAGGAAAAATAATGAAAAAGCTTCTTTTTTTGGGGGATTCCTGAAAAACCTACTAATTTGTAGTTCCCGACAGTTAAGTTGATACATTTCTTAAGAATTCCAGTTACAGGATGGTGCAGTTATAAATTAAATGAAATAATCTAGGTTAGGACTTTATTTAAAATGATAGGGTTAAACATCTGACAATTGCAATGTTCCTGCCAAAAATGTGTTGGAAGATGTCCTTTTGGCAGTTGTCTTTGGGAATTAAAACCAGTTTGGGTGAAAAGAGAAAATACTTACTAACTGGATTGCTCTGAATAGATAACTTGCAATGTGTTTTTCTATGACAGGTTTATTACCCGCCCTGATGTCAAACAAAAAAGAATGGCCAACTTCCTGGACTGGGCCCTTTCAACGTTATCTAAGTCCTCCTTTCAGACCATGGAAGGGACTATTGTAATGGATGGCATGCTTCAGGCCCTGGTAAAAGCTGTTGATATGCTAAAAGATGGTCCAAGTAAATGAATACATTGTGGTGTTTTGTTCCACTACATGCTGTTGCTGGTACTAAGACAAATTCCTGTTAAACTTTTAAGACTTTCAGAATTGTGTTTGTATAATGCATCATTTGGGTTTCTATGGAACAGCAGTTCTCAGCTGGAGGTCTGTGGCTCCTTTGAGGAGGATCTGTCAGCCCTTTTTTGGAGGGTGGTCTCATGTCTGAAACCAGTGCTCTATGGGGCTGAAGCTGGGAGTGGCATGCGGCTGAAACCAGCTGCCGCCTCCTTCCCTGAAGCCATAAGCTGTCTGGGGCTGAAGCAAGCAGGGCACTACCCCCATCCCAAACTGAGAACGGTGCAGGGCAGATCCCTCACATGTGCCGCCCCCCTCTGGCTAGGACCATCGTGAGGCTGGACCTGGTGTACTCTGTACCTCCCAAAAGCAGGAGTAGTAGGGGCTGGAACTGATAGGCCCCGCTCTGTCGAATCTGGAAGCAGTTCAGAGCTGACACTCGCACTCCTCCCCACCTTCCCTAAGCTAGGAGTGCATGGGGGCTGAAGCTGGGAGTCCCAGTCCCATCCCCCCTGAGCTGGGAGCCACCCTCAGAGCCACCTCCCACCCATACACCACCCCTAACTACACCCTGCCTGCACCCTAATCTTTTGCTTAGTCCCCTCTTTGAGTTTTACTTTTTGGATGCATTCTTCCAACAAGCTGGGTGCCCTGCTGATGTGAGTCATGGGGTAGAAGTGATGCTCATTCCCTGGACTTGGCTGTGTGGCCTGAATCCTGCGAGTCCTTGCCCCCTCCTCCCCCAAACAGAAGTAAAACTATGCCTATGCCCAAGAATTCCCTACCCTGGCCTGGAGCCCCAAAGCCCCCCCTCCTCCTTTGGGCCCTAGAGTTTTATTTAGTGGGGCCTCAGCAAGAAAAAGGTTGAGAACCCTTGCCCTAGAACACTTCTAAATGTGTGATTTCCGTAGTACAGGTTCTCTCACTGGGGACTACTCTTCACCATTGACAGATACAAGTAAAATATAAAAGTTGGTTTCCATTTTAATTTTTAAAATATGCATTTGCATATAAACTGGTCTTTTCTTAATTCACCATTTATGTATAGTTTGGTACAAAATGCCAAGAAAATGGCATAATAGTGATATTAACTGATAATGTCCAAAGTGAAAAGGCCAAGATTTTTAGTAGTCTGTACTCCCGTCTAAGATATTCAGGTTAGATATTTAAAATTGCTAGGGATTTGTGAAAGTCTTGGTCCAGTGTTCTGGCCATTTTTAACAGGCTATTTTATTTATACTAGCTTTGTATAATGCAGAAAGAATCCAAGTTAGATAGTATTTTTGCATTAATTTGTTTTTTCAGCTGTTGCTTCCTGCAGTGACACTGTGTGCATTAAGTAGTACTAACAGAGCCCATAAATCTGTGATGGCCAAGTTAGGTTAGTGTGTGGGCTATATGAGTGGCTCTTCATCTCGATGGGCCGCAAGATTATTTTAATGAAGATGGTCTCCTGGGATAGGGTAGTTTTGCTGACTGCACTTGCGTACCTAGAATTGACAGGGCTTGCCGATTTTGAATTGTAGCAGTGGTTTGATTGGATGTAGAGGGAGCTCACATCTCTCACAGTCAGTTGTGTGAAATCTTCATGCCTTGGCTTTACATGTGTGTCGCTTTGGTAATACTGCTAGTCAAAAAACTATGTGGATGGAAACCAGGGGAATTTGGCAACACTCAGCATGGCAAGTGTTTTATTTGCCCCAAACAGAACCTTGATTGGGCCACATGAGAACCACAGGCAGCCCACCACTGCCATAAATCAAAAAAGGTTTATTCCAAGATTGAATAGTCTATTAATTTCATATAGAGTCTAACTGCAACCAATCTCTTTGTCAATGATCTTTTGGGTGATTGTACTCCCATATTATATGTACATAAGTCCAAGATGTCATATGTAAATAAGATCATGTTTGTGGTTTGCCCTTAATACATATGGATAACTTTAAAGGTGACATACATGATGCAATGCATTATACAATGTATTGTAATTTGGCATTTACTGTGATGTTGTTAGAGTGCAAATATGTTAGTGTGCTTTTGTTTTGGCTGGTTATTTTTCACCAAAGCTGAAGTAAAATGAGTGCCATTAAATACAGCATGTTCTTGCATAGTCTAATTGGATTTAGGATTTGCTAACATGCAGTGAAAATGTCTATAATTTACATAAAATTGCCACTCTTAAATAGCAGTATATATGTTTGGTGTGGTGCATTACTAAATATTAAAGCAAATTTCTGGGCTGGAATTAACTTTTTTTGAGGGGGACTTTACTAGCATCTCCAAATCAGAAAAGAAATGGAGCTACATTTAGAATAACTTTTCTTAAGCCTTGTTGGTCAAGAAAGGGGAGGAATTGCTCCTATGCATTGCAGTGCTTTTTGAAAAGAGTTAGAATAGTGTTTCATCATCTCCTTCTCAGATATGGAAAAGCAGACTGTTTACTGTTCTGAGGTGCATGATGAAACCTGCAGGGTGTATATTACATTAATGTTGTGTCACTCCTTTGAGTTTGGCTTTGGTTTTATCCACCTGTTCATTAGCGCATTGTAAGCGAAACAGGTGAACATTTAACAACTAGAATCGAAACCAGAGTATGACTTAATATCCCTGGAAGCAACAGGCTTGATATGATGATTAATTTTCTTCTCCTTGTGGGAAGGGAGGTAGCAAGTGTTTGTCATTTGTGTATTCTACTGTTGCTAATTCACATTCAAGTCATTATTGGCTTTGTTTAAAATGCCCTTAGACCTTCTGGTTTAATATCAATTATAGAAATGAGAAACAAATGGAATTGAAAGAAAGGAGGTTTTGTAGAAAAAAAAATCTTAAATATGGAGTAGAAAATGAGTAATCATTTGTTTCAGGAACTTGACCTTAGGAAGATTTACTTACTGCAACAGGAGTGCAGTATAAAATAAGTCAAAATACAGATTTTTTTTTTCTCCCTTAGAGAGACTATATGGTTTACATCATTTTATTCATCCTAGTTGGAATTTTGTACAACTTATATTCAGTAAATCGTTGCTGAGGGTGTAGAACAGAATGCAGCTCTGAGCTTTCTTAATAATCTTAAGAAAACTTTATTTTTTTTGACCCATACAGTACCTATTTTGTAATCCTAACCCCACCTGCACAGTCTCTCTTGACCTTTAGTCTGTCCCATCCCAAACAAATGAGCAAAGACCACTCCCAAGCCGTGGTTATTGTTGCTGAATTAGCAAGATAGCAATTGATTCTGTTATGGGATAGTAAGAAATGTATTACCCTCCTAAAGTAAGGATAAGAGAGGAACAATTCCTTCTCTGGGCTGCTTCTGCGGTAGGGCAGCTGTGTGACATCCCTAATATAGAGTGTGTGTATAAATATATAAACTTGTCTTAAATATTTCTTCTACATAGAAGTCATACGTTTTTGCAAATCCTCTGGAGAAAAGTAATCCAGCATTACATCTAGGCTTTTGTTGTTAAGCGAGACAATCTACCCTTTTAGATTATGAGTTCACTGGGAAGGTGATTTGCTTTTTCAGACTTGCATTCAAATAATGTACTTTGGAATTTGCTTTTAGTGAGCATGGATGTGACAAAAGTGTTTTGAATTAGAATGAAACTCACAAATTATTTTAGTGCATTGCAGTGTGCAAGTTTTAATTCTGGTGATAGTGAATCTTGCGCCTACCGTAAAATCTTTCTTTTTGTGTGAGGGAAAACCTTGGTTATAAGAATATTCTTCTGATTCCACACAAACGGGAGAGTTCTACATTGCTTCTGTTTAGTCTGCCTCTTCATGGGTTTAAATTTTGATGACTGGTTATGTTACTGTTTAATCCAACTCAGCATTTTAAATGGAGAAGGCACTATTGTGTCATGATTCTTGTTGAAACATGCACACGCGTTACACATCTAAATTCCACAAAGGGGCTTGGGTTTTTTTTACACCTGCTGACAGTAATACATCATTTCACAACAGGTGTGCCTGAGCAGGAAGCACTGCTTGTAGTATTTCATACTCTGGTTTTTAAAAGCTTTCTTCCCCCTTTCCTTAACTAAAAAGCAACACTTTAAAAATGTATTGTGGACATTTATGTATATATGATTTTGTATTTATATAGAATATGTAGCGACACAAGCTAAATTATGAGGAAATTATTTTTAAATTCTTAATTTATGGAAACATGTAACATAGTTCAGAGATCTGCATTCTAAATTATTTGGGTCTGAAGGTTTACTTTTAAACCTGCCATTCAAGTAGCCTTTTAGTTATCGCTGTAGGGTATAGCACTCCCAGTTCTTGCATGACAGAGATGACATAATGCTGAAATAGCTTGGGGCATTGAAACTTATTAAACCATATTTAATTTGTTTTATAAGTGACTCAGTATACAAATGTGAATAATAATTAAAAATAAAACATCCTCCATAGTGATTTGATGAAACTTGGAAACCTTAAGAACTACTTTTATTTGTATCTAAGAACAGGGCACTTTCCTGAGCTGCGTCTAGTGTTAGGATTGTTTGGTAATAGTTTCACACATATGAATCGTGCCTTAGGGAAGAGAGAGCTCTGCTATACTGTCCTTTCTGACCCAGAGGCACACAAATAGGTATTCCGTGCAAACATTGCCCAAGTCTTTTTTAAAAATATATTTTTGGTATTAGCAGATAATTTGTAATTTTGAGATTGCCTGTTGCTCTTAGGGATTTTATCTTTTAAAAGAAAGTTGCTCAGTTGTTCAGGGCTATAAAAATTAGCACATATTTAGAGAGAGAAGGACCTGTCTTTTGAAGCCCTATAGATGTGGAGGCTGGTGGCCTTTTCACTGCAGTAATATCTCTGTCCCCTTTGATGGGGTGAAGTTTTCCACTTTTCCATTGTCACCTTCGCAAATTTCTCTGTTTCTAGTTTAATTACAC